GGTTGTCTTTTACAAAGAAATTTCTACAAGAAAATTTGGGTACTTGACGCGCACAATTCAACTGTTATTTAAATAATTTCTATTTCCTCTTTTGATCTATACGTTCTATGATTGTTTATGGTGGAAAACCCCATTTAAAGGTGCGATCTCGATCAAATTTACCATATATTAGTCTCACAAAGTATTATATGAAGCGTATTCTTGAGTATTGAAAGAATTAGCAAGAACCCATTTGATCTTTTTGCATAATCTGTAAAGGTTTTTCGTCTTTTTAATCAGAATCCCATTGGAAATTGCTTTTTTATTGTCTTTGCCAGTATCTGAATTGTTTGTTCATTTTTATTTTGATGCAGTTGAGTATAGATCTAAGATCTTTCTTGGATCTAATGCGGAGCCCATGTTGATATTTTTGCAATCTCATGAGATTTGTGTGATTCAATTGTGATATTTTTCCTTGTAGCAGAAGTTAAGAAGATTTGTAAGTGTTGATGGATAACAACAATTACCATTCTCCGCCTCCATATCAATATAGCACATATAATTACCCCCATGTTCCACCCCCTCCAAATCAACAAAACCCAGGTCTTAGTTCCGGTCCATACCCTGGTCATCCTCCTCCAGGTTCTGTCCCATATCCACAGTATTCTCATTATCCACCCCCGCCCTTTTACAACACTTCAGGTTCCGGCCATTTAAATTATCCGTATCCAGGTCCACCGCCACCATCTGCACCTCCTACGTCTGGACCTTTAGAGTATAGTTACCCCCCATCCTCACATTCTACCCCCATCACTCACCAGTTTCATGGATATCCACCTCCTCCACCAATGCCAACCCCACCTCAGTCAACCCTTCAATCATATGGTAGTTTCCATCATGGTTCTTCCCATTATCTCCAACATCAGAACTCTGGGCCATTGCAGCCTCCAGATAATCAACCCAATGTGCCACCTAGAGTTAGTGGTGAGTACTCTAGTAACTACCACTACCAAGATAGTTCATCTTCTGTGAGTGGAACTACAGGAAATTATGATCACATCAATGATGGTTCTATGACTCGCCCTTCAGTTTATCCGTCTATCGATGATCTCATTGAAAATGTTCATTTGTCTGATAGTCATAAGCCATCTGCCCCTGCCTCCCCTCCTGCCCCGTCAGCCTCGTTGCCTAGTTCCCCTCCAAAATATCACTCTGGACCATTGCCAATGACTAATAAGTATAATGGTATGGGGGCTATATATGGACATCCTAATTCCTTTTCTCGCTGGGAGACATCTTCTACGGGTCAGATGGAGCACCCTTCTGTTCTTGCCTCATCACATTCGACCACTCATGCTGAGACATCACATGCTCAGAATATGCAGCTTATGGCAGCTTCATCTCCTAAAGTGTCTTTGAAAGTTTTGCTCTTGCATGGGAATTTGGATATTTGGGTATATGAAGCAAGAAATCTTCCTAACATGGATATGTTCCACAAAACTATAGGAGACATGTTCAACAACAGTAAGATTACAAGTGATCCCTATGTCTCCATCACAGTAACAGGTGCTACAATTGGAAGGACTTATGTGATAAGCAATAGTGAAAATCCTGTTTGGACGCAAAATTTTAATCTTCCAGTTGCTCATTATGCTGCCGAAGTTCACTTTGTAGTGAAAGATAATGATGTTGTGGGATCACAACTTATAGGGACAGTGATGGTTCCGGTGGAGCATTTATATGGTGGAGAAAAAATTGAGGGGTTCTTTCCAATCCTCAATGCAAGTGGGAAGCCCTGCAAGGCTGGAGCTGTTTTGTATATCTCTATTCAATATACCCCAATAGAGCATTTAAGCATCTACCATCATGGAATTGGAGCTGGTCCTGATTATCTTGGAGTACCTGGGACATACTTTCCACTTAGGAGAGGTGGAATGATCACTCTTTATCAAGATGCTCATGTTCCTGATGGATGTCTCCCAATTCTAAAACTTGAAAATGGGATGCAATATGTGCATGGAAAATGCTGGCGTGACATCTTTGAGGCTATACGTCAGGCCCGCCGTTTGATTTATATTACTGGGTGGTCAGTGTGGCACAAAGTTAGACTGGTTAGGGATGATAATTCCGTGTCAAGTACCACTCTGGGGGATCTTCTGAGATCAAAGTCACAGGAAGGAGTGAGAGTTCTGCTGCTTGTATGGGATGATCCTACGTCAAGAAGCATACTGGGCTACAAAACGGTAAGTGCTTATATCATTTGAGACTGTGATTGGATAATGTATCCATTTGTCAACATAACTCCAAATGATTGAGGTTGTGTTTTGCTGTCACAAGAATCCTATGTACAATGTTTGAGCAAAAAAACTTTTGCTCATACTCATAAAATATCACTGCAGACTATGGACATAGTACCTTCTTCATGCTTCACCTCTGGATGTAAAGCACAAATCATGAAGATATCAAATATTATTTGTTTAAGATGTGATACAGTTAAATATTGTTTGTGCAAGTACAGAGAATGCTTTGAAGCCGTCTTTCTTTTAAAGTCAAATAGTCTAGAAGACAAGTTTAAATTTTGCTCCAATAGAATTCAAACTATAATTAAAACTATCGAAATTGTATTAAGACCTTCCAGGTGATTTATACATTTAGAAAGAGAGAGCTTTCGCAATTTTTCCTCTATTATTTAAGAACTATGGCGTATTTCAATATCAACTTCCTCCATTTAACTAACTTTTTGGCATGCTTCTTTTCCTAATTTATCTTGTTGCTTATTGGGTAATGCTTTCAATCTTTAGTTTGTTTACATATATTTAGGGGCTTATTTCACATGAATATGTATAGAGTCTGGAGACCTCAGGTTTCTGTTATTATGCAACTGAAACTATTTTTTCTTGATTAATTGTTTTCCTTTTAAAATTTTCAAAATGATATTCTTATTTCTAATGTTATCCAATTATTGTATCACAAACTTGACCTATTCAGGATGGAGTCATGCAAACTCATGATGAAGAAACTCGCCGTTTCTTTAAACACTCTTCTGTGCAAGTGCTGCTCTGTCCTCGTGTGGCTGGGAAGCGTCATAGTTGGATGAAGCAGAGGGTATGTCGAACATAAATAATATTTTCCTTCTTTTTCTTAGTTTTTCTTTTCCTTCTTTTTTCTGGTCATCTACATCGAAGCGCATAAAAAGTTTTTACATTTTAACAAGATTATTTGTTATGTAAAATTAGTTGGATGGGATTGACCTTTTCTTGTTCGAAGCTCATCTATGATGGGATTGAGCTTTCCTTATTGGAAGTTCATCTATAGCAAATGCTACTAATAGGTTTTTGGACTTGTGAATGAATACTCTGTTTCAAGAATTGTTTAGCCTGCCCCTATAGTATTGTGGGAAAGGGATAATGGATTATGCTCTCATCTCAGCATCTGCATGAAGCCATCAAACCCAAAGTTCTATTTTGTGGAGGGAAACTTCTACTATTAGAGTCTGGAAACAAGAATCAACAACATCAACAACAACAACAACAAAAATAAAAATAAAATCAGTGCTTATCTGGTTTCATGCTTATTCCTCAAGTGATTTCTAAATTTTAATTAACTTTGCATTTAGAAGATAATTGTTTTTTTCTGTTATATATGAGTTTTGAGGTTATGGATGTTTCTTACTATGCCTATTTTAGCATTTCTTTGTCATGGTTTTTGATTTTCATCATTGTAACTGTTACGCTAGTGGTTGGAATGAGTTTGTTTTCACATATATTGTGAATTTTTTAGTTTGCATTATAATTCTTAAATTTCCAAAGCTAAGATCTTCGTAGTTTGAAGGTTGTGGTGAACAGGTGAAGCATTCACTTCATATATAGTTGTGATGAAGAGAGAAATATTCCAATCTATAATCATTCTTTGATATGTTTTTTTTTCCCTAAAAGAAGAACATAGATTTGGTTATGCTCTGCATTTTGCTTTTTTGATTAATTTTTTCTTTTCTGGCATACCCTAAGATGCTTTCGATTGGCAAGGAGTAACAAATTACATTGAAAAAGCCATTGCAAATATCAATGATCAGTAAATTTTTCTTGCGAATAGAACCGAAAAACTTGACAGTAACTTTCAAACTGCAGTGGAAATTTGCCTTTATGCTATCATTCTGATAATTTATTGTTTGAGTAACCTTCAAATTCTGAAGTTAATAATAAATTTCACATTCTTGATCAGGAAGTTGGAGTAATTTATACACATCATCAGAAGACTGTGATAGTGGATGCTGATGCTGGAAATAATCGAAGAAGAATCACTGCATTTCTTGGAGGACTGGACTTGTGTAACGGGCGATATGANCCCCCCCCCCCCCCCCCCCCCCCCCAAGCTCAGGGTTCTATGGCTCATAAGAAATCAAGGATTCAAGTGGCCTGAGCTTGAACTTTACTCAATTTACTATTTTTTTTTTATTGTTTTTAGCTTTCCTTTGCCAATGGAGGGGGTTCAATTCCTCTGTCCAACTTTATTGTCTTTTTTTAGCAGTTATAGAAATCCAAAACTTTACTGATTCCCTATTCAGTGCAAAAGGAAGGCAACATGATCAGCCGAGGCCATGCCCTTGTAAATTTCAGATTTGTTCATAAGATCATTAAGTGATATATGAAACTTTAGCCACTTCAATTTGCCCATTATGTGATTGTGGATGCTCTGAAAAGTGAAAGGAAAACACCATCTAAGATCCAGTATAATTATAATAAGTGAAATGGATAAATAATTCCTTGTTAATAAGAAAATGAAGCTGCATTACCTTGATACCATTGCTTATATGTTGATTCATATTACTCCCTGAACAGGGTAGTGTTACGGGTTGTCCAAGAGAAGCATGGCATGACTTGCACTGTAAAATTGACGGTCCAGCAGCATATGATGTTCTGACCAATTTCGAGGAACGGTGGATGAAAGCTGCAAAACCTTATGGAATAAAAAAATTAAAGGTGTCATATGATGATGCTTTACTCCGACTGGAAAGGATACCCGACGTACTGGGGCTATCTGATGCTCCTTGTGTTAGTGATGATGATCCTCAAAGTTGGCATGTTCAGGTGAATCGGTATCAATGAACTGTTAAAATTGCTGGGTTTCACTTGATTTATGTGATGGACTTTTCTAATCACTGATTTTCTATTCATCATATCCAGGTTTTTCGTTCAATTGATTCAAACTCCGTCAGTGGCTTCCCAAAGGATCCTAAAGAAGCTACAATGAGGGTGAACAATAATAAATATTGTAAGACTTTTTTTGTTTGCAACTTTTCTTCCATAACCATTAAATCATGTTTTGTAACAGAACCTGGTATGTGGGAAGAACGTACTTATAGATATGAGCATACACACAGCGTATGTAAAGGCCATTCGTGCTGCTCAACATTTTATTTATATTGAAAATCAATACTTCATCGGATCCTCATACAACTGGAGTACAAATAAGGATGTCGGTGAGGAACTGTTTGCATTTTGTATTTTAATTCCAAAATATTTGGTGGCCTATGTTATATATTTTGTCAGCCAATTTTGTTCTGAAGTATAATGGCTGGCCTGCGTGCTTGAATCTATTTGTCCGCTTAAGGTAACGTGATTATGAAGATTGAGTCTTCCCCACCCTCTGTCAGGGGTGTGTTTGAGCCACATTATTGTGAAAAAGTGTATTTTGGAATAGTAAATTGATGGAGAATGCGTGGTTGAAAAAAAGGAAAAATTATTGATGTGATGAAAAATATTATTTTATTGAAAAATGTGTGGTTGAAAATGAGTAGAAAAATGATTATGAAAATTTTAATGCGGCTCAGAGGCTAGAAGTGAATTTTACTAGTTTGCAACTTTCTTGTCATTTGTTGCATGGCATATGAAGACTAGCGCAAATGGCCTGAGGTGGATGTCACGGAGAATAAACTGATGCAAAATTTGAATATTTAAATTTCTCAAGTTGCACTTTTTCCATGCTAAAGCACTGTTTGTTCTTTGCCCATTCATTACCTACTGGACCATGGTTTTGTTCACATTGATACGTGCGACAAACACTAGAAACATACCTCAGGAAAGGTATACAAGATTCAAAGACCCACAAAATAAATAAATAAGATCTAACAACAGCTACCAAGTTCAAAAAGATGCAACATTTTTTCAATGGTATCACATATATTGAGCCATACACGAAAACGAATTTTGTGTGAAAGTATGTCACTACCTTGTCATAGTTTAGTTGTCTCAGGTGACGATTTGACTGCCCACTTATATATACTGCTTTTTGTCCTGTTAGTTTCAAGTTTTCTTCTGATGTGCAAAATTTAGAAGCATAGTTCTACTTTGCAGGTGCAAATAATTTGATTCCAATAGAAATTGCCCTCAAGATTGCCAGCAAAATAAGGGCACACGAGAGGTTTGCAGCATATATTGTCATTCCAATGTGGCCAGAGGGTAATCCAACAGGTGCTGCTACTCAAAGGATTTTGTTTTGGCAGGTATGTATTCTCAAGTTTACACTTTCCATTTACTTTTAGTACGTACTGGCAAGTATCAGCAAGCAGAAGATAAAAGGTTCTGTTGGAGTGGTTTTAGCCCATGTTTGGACTCCACTAAATGAGATTTTGGGGAAAATGTATTTTGGAATAGTGATTTTTTGGAAAATATGTGGTTAAAAAATAAGGAAAAGTTTTGGGTTTACGTGTAACATTATTTTATGGAAAAATGTGTGGTTGAAAATAAGTTTTGGAAAAATGCATTATTTGAAAAATGGAACCCAAACAGGAGCTTAATTTTCGTATATGGAATGGATTCGTTATTATATGTTTATCAATATTAGCTATCTGTTAACCAGTGTAGTGCTTTTATATTTCTTATGATTACATTTAATTGATGTAGCCTTTTGACTTGTAACTCTTATTCCAGCATAAAACAATGCAAATGATGTATGAGACTATCTACCAGGCTCTAATGGAGGTTGGACTTGAGAATGCATACTCCCCACAAGATTACTTGAACTTCTACTGTCTTGGCAATCGTGAGGCTTTCGATGAGGGTTATCCCTCTGAGCGTCAAAGTGCAGCTAACACTCCTCAAGTACTCGTTCTATCTCCCTTAAATATATTTTTTTGTTGGTGATATTCCTTATAAATACACTTGTTCAAGACTAAATTTAAATAAATAAATGCATCCCTCATCTAACATCTTAAGCTTTTAGATGAGGTAATTCAACATGGAATTAGAGCAAACACAGAATCCTGAGTCTTTTCGGTCTGTGCTACCTAGGATTCTGAAAATTGTGCATGTGTCAGGTCTTTGATAAAAAATTGAGTAAGGCCTACACATGAGTGCAGTTAAAACCTAAATTTTTAAATAAGTAAATCTGTAAATGTGTTCCCTCTCTAGTAGCTTAACATTTTGAATGAGTTATATAAACATCCCTCATAGGACTTTTCTCACAAGATGTGCTTAATGACTTAATCTTCGATTGTTATTAAATGTTGTAAACCATTGATCACTAGACATTGGGTGCTTGTAAGCGGTTTGTCTGAGTTTTATTTTGAATTGTCACTAGCAAATTTCAGAATTCTGGATTTATTTACACCTCAATGTTCTTAGTTTAGGTAATTTTATTGCAAAGGTACACATGAGTTCTCTTCAACATATTTGTTTCAGGGACTCGGTCAGAAAAACCGAAGATTCATGATTTATGTTCATTCGAAAGGGATGATTGTGGACGATGAATATGTTATTTTGGGGTCTGCAAATATCAATCAACGTTCGATGGAGGGTACTAGAGACACAGAGATCGCTATGGGGGCTTATCAACCTCATCACACATGGGCAAGAAAACAATCGAGTCCATATGGACAGGTAATTTGTTAACAACATTTGAAAATACTGTGGCTTAATTATCCACGACTTAGAGATCAAAACTAAATACTGTCATCTGACTCTGGAATCTCGGTATCCATTTTTGTAGATTTATGGTTATAGAATGTCTCTATGGGCCGAGCATCTAGGAGTTTTAGATGACTGCTTTACTCGACCAGATTCTGTAGAATGTGTCAGACGAGTTAGACAAATGGGCGAGGCGAACTGGAAGCAATATGCATCTGATGAGATATCAGAAATGAGAGGACACCTTCTGAAGTACCCGGTTGAAGTTGATAGGTACGGCAAGGTGAGTTCCCTCTCAGGATGTGAAACTTTTCCTGATGTTGGAGGTAATATAATCGGATCATTCCTTGCTGTTCAAGAAAATCTGACCATTTAAATCCTCAATTTATCCATATTTGAGAATGGAACATCAACGAGGAATGAACCTTTTAGCACTTGTAATTTTCCGTGGTTGTGAATAGGAAATTGTAATGAAGTTCATAGCAGTTGTAAAGCATATTTTCAAGTTACCTATACATTGTATCTTATAGACAAATGTCATATTATATTGACATCTATTGTAATTTAAAAAAACAAAATTTTGAAATTTGTTAAGAACATTAACAAGATATGAGAAGTTTTTGCTCATTCCAGGATGTTGCAGGTTTTGCATTCCATCCCAATTCATAGACATTAGAATTCGTTAAAAGTTTACTATATTTTTAGAGAGGAGCCGTAACAGTGGACTTGGCACGACCAATTGTATGTCGTGTCGGGTCCACAGGCAGGATGTCCTGACACGGGATATCCGCTTTATACCACTAGATAGATGAAAGGAGAAAGGCAATGCCTATCTTTCCTAGATGGGGTTGGTATAACATGTTGAAATGGTTTCTACATTGAACATATTATATAAAGTGAATATACTAATGAACTGAATCGATTAGCAAAAAAGGATTCAGATGTCCGCCTCAAATTGTTGAGAATATGATGTTTGTTGCTTCAAATAGAAATTAGAGGTGGGCACCAAGTAGTTTGGTTTGGATTTGGATTTTTTGAGATGAGAATTAACAATTTCTATTATGAATTGTGAAAAGAATAATGTTATTTATTATCACGATGATAAATTATCGGTGATTTGACAGTTTATGTGGAATAATAAGGAAAATTATACAGAATTGGTACAAGAATTTGGAATGGAAGGAATATATTCAAAATGAGAATAGAGAAAACAACACACGCATGATGCTACCATTCAAATTCCTATTAAAAATCTGTGAGTTATTCCCTGTACTTGCAGTATTTTTCTTGCTACATTGATGATTTGTCAGCATGATAAATATTATTACTCTTGTGAGAGTGAAGCCACTATGGGGCAAAAAAGAAAAAAGATTCAAATCAAACTATTCTGAAAGTTTCCAATTTATTTTAAATCTCATGGTTAAAAAGACGCACTAAATTTTTAATAATGAAATTGATATAATTGGCACTGGAGTACATTTGAGAACCATGTTAATCTGGATGAAGATTAATTTAGTTTTTTTTTTTTTAACTAATACTAGTCTTATGTCCTTGCAATGCATGGACTTTATTATTTTCAAGGTAATTTTAACGTGTCTACAAAAGAAAATTTTAGGCAAATATAAAACTCACTATTCATCCAATAGTGAAGTTTTTACATATTACTAGTCAAAAGCACGTGCAATGCACGTGTCATGATGTAGTTGAGTACGTAATAGCGTATGTATTAAAAACAAATATTTATGTCAAACATTAGTTACATAAAATTTTCTTATAAGTTGATAAATGTTTCGAGGCAACATTAAATGTGGAGATAAAAAAAAAATTAAACTCACAGTTATTGAAGAAATTGAGTCTCACCTTCCACCACAGCCTCCAGTTATCGAAAAATGTCTTCTCACCAATCTCCGATATTCAGTCATTGTCATTTATTTCATAAACCCCTAATCAATTTTTAAACAAAAGAATAGGGAAAAAGAACTCAAAATAAATAAGTTTATTATTATCACATTTTAAGTTTTTTTAAAAAAAATTGAAATCGATCCAAATGGATATTTATATCATGAAATATCGAATCAAACGAAAAATTGTAGGAAAATAAAGTTCTAAAAAAGGACATTGAAATGACGTTGTGATTGAAAAGAAATATAAACAATCACGACGTTACGTTTCACAATTAATGTATAATTATTTGGAAATTTAAAATTTATCAATTATATATTTATCATGGCTGCACTTCAACATTTCCAACAAATTTTAAATCGCTCAAAACGAATATCTGTAATTTAAAATATTGAAAAAAAAAAAGACTTAGCCGAGTCGAGTCGTCAAGCCATTTGACTGGTAAATAGTAAACAAAACTAATAAAAAAAAGTTGGCCGAGTCGATCCGTAAAGCCATTTTTATATTTTAACTTAATCGAAAAAAAAAGGTTAAAATAACTAATAAAACAAAAGAAATTGAAAAAACCTAATCAAACGTAAAAAAAAAAAAAATAGAAAGGCTAAGCCATGCCAAGCTATAAAGCCATTTTTATATTTCCACTTAATCGACAATATATTTATTATTATCACATTTGAAATTTTTTTAAAAATTTTGAAATCGATCCAAATGGGTATTCATATCGTGAAATATCGTATCAAACGAAAACTTGTAAAAAAATAAAATTCAAAAAAATGACATTAGAATGAGGTTGTGATTGAAAAGAAACATAAATAATCACGACTTTACGTTTCACAATTAATGTAAAATTATTTTGGTATTTAAAATTTATCGATCATATATTTATTATAGCCTCACTTCAATTTTTGATATTTAAAATTTATCGATCCTATATTTATCATGACCGCACTTCAGCATTTCCAACAAATTTTAAATCGCTTAAAACGAATATCTGTAACTTAAAATATTGAATCAAACGTTAAAAAAAAAAAAAAAAAACTGAGCCGAGCCTAGCTGAGCCGAGCCGTGCCGTAAGCCATTCGGCTCGACTCGGCTCGGCTCAAGAACAGTAACCCTAACTCACTCTTTTATATATAAGTTAGACAACATGTATAAGATGAATGACTCTAAATTGTTTCTAGCAGAATATGCTAATAATATTATAACATACTCAGCGAATGATAATTGTGCCCCATCCTAATGTCATATCTTGTAGGTTTAGCATCCCTCCTATCGTATGGATGATCAGACCTTTCCTTGATATCCGAAGACAATGACTGCCATGGGGGGAATCACTTCAAATTCACTTGAATCAATCTCAGTATCACTTGAATCAACCATACGTTTATTTCAGCACTGTTAACCTAGTCGTGTGAGGGCATGGACATCCTTTGGAATTCCCTGAGGAGAAACCTTGTTACATAGTTCACAATCAGATTTTATGGCTAAACTGTAATGGATAAACAGATTGTAATGGATAAACAAGTGGTCAATTGTAATGGATAAACAGATTTCATGACTAAATTATAATCACTAATGCATGGTAAACAAACACTGCACATCTTAAATTTAGATTTTGCTTAGTTAAAAAAAATGAGATTAAAAGAAAGAAAAATAATGAATAAGGGGTTAACCATACTAAGTTGATTATTCCAAGCGGTGTTGACTTTTTGAAGCCCACAAAATAAATAGAAGTGCTCAATTCTCGAAAGTTGGGCTTAAATTAATATCTCAGAGTGAAATTAACTGGGATCTCAACCAAGACAAATATAAAGATTAGGTCGTGCGCATCATCTAGAAACAATGTAAGCATTTAATATCCAATAAGAAACTCAATAGAGAATGATCAAAAGGAAAACAAAAATAAAACATTAGTCAAGCTTGAGAAAAAAGAAACACACAACTACATCGAGGATGGTAACTGAGCATTGAAATAGAAACCCCCCAATTACAAGGTGCCCCATTACCCCCCTCCCCCAACTCATCCCAAGAAATTAAAATTAAAAACATGTTCTCTCTTTTTTCCCCTTTCGGATATTAAATTCTCAATACCAAAAATATAAAACATATGATTGGAAGCCTCTGATCAAAATGCAATACCTGATGAAAAACTCATTTATGTAAGAAATCCAACATTTTGCAGTGATGGTTTACCTAAGATTGTGTGGATGTGTTTTATACAAATAGATTGATATAAAGTTAGATATATACACCTTCTTTAACTGGACTCTCTGACAATCAGTATGAATGATGGCCACTATGGCACTCCCAAACCGCTTCTTTCCTTGCTCTACAGATGTAGATAAATTCAAGATATTCTATCCAGATGTTAACTCCTACATATCCAAAAATCCATCTGAAGAGCTGGGAGATGTCAAGAAAGAAAGGAATGAGTAATTGATTCTCAATCCAAACATTTAGTAGATATCCCCTGGCTCCGCCCCATGTTTTTTACAATTATTGCACCAAGTTCCTTGTTACCTTGTCAGTATACCTTATTATAGTCCCTTGAGCGATGGAAAAGATTGATAGCCTGTCCAAAAGAATTCCTACTGGCATGATAATCCATGTATAATTTATAATATTTAATTTTCTAGACCCTTTATGCAATCTATATATTACAGGGACAGCTTACAAAGTATCTAATCCATAAACAATTGGATAATTAATTTTAAATGTGAAAAACTTACAACTAAAGATTCTCTATTGACATTCATCAAATAAAAAGGAAAAGGGGCTATATATGTTTCTATAAGAAGAATTTGTGGAATGATGGGTCACGTTTCTAGGAAGAGAACACTTCTTTGAATTCTGTTTTGTCACTAATACCAGAAACTAATTCCAAATATTCATTTATAAGTAACTTTCCAAAAGATTAACCACTAATATTTTTGAAACTCAATACTTGTCTAACACATATGAATGTACTCTACGAATTGATTTTATGTTATACTGTTAACATTATAATCTCAATGCAACAATTAAACTCAGCTCAAAAAATAAAAGTGCATGGAAACCAAGCATATAAAAATACCTATAAACATATCTTACTATTGAATAAAGGCAACGGTTATTGAGGTTCCTCCACCAGCCTTGCTGCCAATAGTTGTCTTCTGAAATATGCACATAGAATATCAGTACAAAAGGGGCCAAAAGTTAGAACGAGAATATACACAATACTTCTTATATATGATGCATTTATATTAACTTAACACCTCATTGTTTCCTTCAACACTTGCTTTTGATAATGTAAGATATTCAAAGGCAAGTATTCTCTCTGCTCTAGCTTTCCTTTTCAAATCCTCTTATTGCTTTGACAAATCTGATCCATTCGAGGCAGTACCAGTGCCAAACCTAGAGTAAATTGATGCAATTAGAGATGTGGACTCACTAAATATGCTACTATATTCTGTGGGATAAGTAGTAGACATTGTA